AGAAATGCCGTTCTCCACCACCCCAGGGCAAGCCACACATGTCAAATGAGGGGTTACGCGTATCTCATGTATATACCCTCGATGTCTGCATCACCGTCCTAACTACATTCATCGCACTAGCCCTCGCAGAAAAACAAGGCCAAGCTCCTGTTGCCAATTACTGATGCCAACTATGACTGAAGTGCAACAGCCGACTCTTCCTGATGGAGCCAGTCCCTCCACTTTGAGGACGTATACTCATGTACCTGAAACGGAACATGAGCGTAAGTTGTCACGGTCCATGGAACGCATACTCATCATACTAACCGCACACAGTCGACTGGGCCGACTTGGTCACTCTCGATCTCTCGCAATTTGATCTCCCAGGAGGAAAAGAGAAATTAGCAGCTCAATTAAAAGACGCCGTCCATCAAATCGGTAAATAGGCCCCAATTCCTTCCTCTCAAAGTACCTGACCTGCTGATACACAATCAACTAGGGTTCTTCTACATCACCAACTTCGGTCTTTCCCAAGAGGAAATCGACCGTCAATTCGCCATCGGTCAGGAAATCTTTGAGCTCCCCGAGTCTGAGAAGCTGAGACACCGCGCGGATCTCGAAGCCGGCAACTACAACGGGTACCGACCACTAGGAGCGATCGAGATCCTGCCTGGTCTACGCGACAACATCGAGTTGTACAATGTCTTCAAATTCATCCCTCAGTACGCACGGTCACACCCAGACGTGATCCTGCGCCACTACGCGGAGATAGAGCGGTTCCACCGATGCATCTACTACCAAATCGTAATCAAGCTCTTCCGGCTAATCGCCATCCTCCTCGAGTTACCGGAAAATTACCTCGTGAACGGTCACCCCTATGACGGTCCCAGTGACTGCCACCTGCGATACATGATCTACCGGGCACGCAGCGCCGAGGAAAATGCCAGACATCAGAATCTGTGGTCCCGTGGACATACGGATTTCGGGAGCTTGACCTTGTTGTTCCGACAGCCTGTTGCCGCATTGCAGGTTAAGACGCCCGAGGGCGAGTGGAAGTATGTAAAGCCTTATACTGGTAGTATAACGGTGAACATTGCGGATGCCTTGCAGTTCTGGACCAATGGGTATCTGAAGAGCAGCGTGCATCGTGTCATTGCTCCACCGCCGGATCAGGCTCATATCGATCGGCTTGGTGTCTTGTACTTCGTCAGACCGGGCGACGGACTGGACTTGAAGACAGTGAATAGTCCTTTGCTGAGAAGATTGGGCTTCAAGAATGATGAGAATGGGGATGCGGAGGTTACAGCTGGGGAGTGGGTTAGAGCGAGGGTGAGAAGGAATTGGGATAAACCACCAAAGGCGAATGCTGAGGATATTGAGCTCGGTGGTGTAAGGACTACGGTTTTCCATGAATGAGCAGAAAAGTTGATTGAGCCTCGTTAACAACTACAGAAACCTACCTCTCCTTCTCCTTCTCCCCCTCCCCCTCTTCCCACTTGGCCTTCTTCCTCTCCTAGTCTCTACGTTAGACTTATAACATTATCTTGGGGATACATTATATTCATACCAGAGCTTCATTTGCAAGGGCATTGAAAGCCCTCCGTCTTTCACGTTTCTCCTGATAGGCAGGCGCGCAGCGCCATCGGTGGTGGTGGTGGGGGCAGTGTGGTGATATACAATGTTAGTAACTCAGATATTGGATCAAGCTCCGGTATGTAGACGTAATAGATCTCCCGTATGTACACATATGGGATGAATCTCCAGTATGTAGACGGGACTAACTTACCTCTCTCTCCAGGGCTTTCAGGAAAGCGATCTATCGAAAGCAAGATTATATAGTACACAGTAGTCATGAAGGGTATATAACATACATTGGCCGTCCATCCCCTGGCAAAGTGCATACCCGGACAAAGATCTGGAAGGTGAGCCCCCGAGCAGAAGATACAAGCGGTATCTTAAGCCTTTGTTAATTTTGCTATACATGCTATTAATAGGCACGACATCATGGGTTATAGAAGAGCGTTAGACCAATAGCAAAGTTGCATTAGAATTTTGGTGGTGGCATACACGTCGAATCGTCAGCAAACGCACAATGAGTCTTTAAAAAGTGAGTCGAAGAACTGGGGACAACAACGAAATCTGTCCTGCTTGCTCAAACATCTCTAATAACCTTAAGAGTATTGATATCAAGCAGCCTCTTGAAAAGAGAAAGAGATGATGACAAGCGTCGAGTCTTCGAAGATAAGACGTCAAGGAAAATGGGGTCAAGGAACAGAGGACAACAACGAAAACTGCACCTCTCGCTCAAGGATCTATAAAAATCTTAAAGATTTTGAGATCAAGCACCTGGCCTAAAAAAGAGGAAAGGGGTGACCTTCGTAAGGAATGGATTCACTTACCGTCGCGGTGTTAGTGGGTTTTGGGGAGAGGGAAAAGAGAGATCGTGAGAGGCTAACAGAATGTTTTGTGAAACCCTCAAGGTCACGAGACAGCCATCCCTCCTCACTCTCCTTGACATTCTTGAGACCTAGTGACCAGTATAAATCGTGTGCTAAATAATTTATAAGGTTGTTTATTCTAATAGCTGTGTCTTGAAGTATATTCAACTTCATTTATCAACTTCCTTATTTATATCAACATGCTATATCGGCTCGTATAAACAGGAAAAGATGATACCAGGTGGGTTTTGGTATGGTCCAACTTGGTACTATACACATTTCATGATAATTCTACCAATGAGTGCTAGCTTGGTATGAAACTTTCGGCATCGATGTGGTTCTCGATGTCCTAACGAATAACTTCGCAATGTCATTATTTGGAATGAGTAAGTGACCCTGTCAGCAGAAACCACTCAACTCTATATCACAACTAACTAGAACTTGTATCTAACTAGAGCCTCTATACGGTATTGTGAGAAATTGATGCTTCATAGGCTTAAATACCTCTTCAATAAGGTCTACCCAACTCACTTCGTCAACGTCCATGCTCCCATTCTCCTTCTTCTCCTTCATATCCTAGTCTCTGCGCTAGACTTTTCATATGATTTGAAACTACTGTTATATTCATACCTTAGCCTCTTGGGTAAGGACTCTCAGCCTCACCCTTTTCTTCATATTCTTTGTCAATCGAACTTTGGGGGTGGCGAAGGCGGAGGCTGCAGCATTGGTGTTGGCAACGGCGGCAGCCTGATGATACACAATGTTAGTATCTACGGTAAGGGGTAAACTTTCAGCATATAGACGTAGCAGTTCTCCAGTATGTGCATATATGGGGGAGAATTCCGAGTATATACGGAGTCCATAGATGAGATAAATCTTCAACGTGCAAATAGTATTAAACTTATCTTCATTCTCTTTCTGCCCCTTCGGGCGGGGCCCGGGCCTTGCTCCTCCTTGTTTCGTTGATATTCGAGCTATCGGAAGCATGATTATGGTGTACTTAGGAACGAGGAACATATAACCTACACATGCTGCCCATCTATGGGCGAAGTGGAAGTCGGGGCATAGTTCCAAGTGGTGAACTCCCGAGCAAAAGATGCAGACCGTCTCCCAAACATTTGTTAACCTTGTCAGACATTCTAACAAGAAGCACTGCCTCATAAACTATAGGGCAACGCTAGGCCCTTGGCAATTTTGCATTGAATCTCCGGTGATAGTGTACACTTTGTGGGTTTTTCAAAGGGCAGCAGACACTAACTAAATATGTCCTGTCTATCTAGGTGTGTCTAAAGATCTTAAGTACTTCAAGATCGAGTGAGCTATTTTTGATAGAGGAGATAATTTCGGACCACAGCCTCACTATGATATCGTGGGTAGGTGCTTGGGGAGAGATAGAACATGGGACGGTGGGGGCTTGGCAGGCTGTTTTATAAAAGTTCTTATGGACACGAAGTAACCATTTCTCTTCACTATTATAGGTTCACTCTGTAGAGATCGATTTATGCTCTAAAATCTAGTAACCGGTATATAATCATGTCCCGATCTAGATATTAATTACCCTAAGGGCTGTCTGTCGCAATATGCTACACTTCATTCATCAGCTTCTTTAGTGACTTCAGCCTGTATGAGTTCACACTGTATCTCATCTAGATTGACTTTGAAGTCTATCAGGAGGAATAAAATCCGTTTAATACACAGTGAGAGAACAATCACTCAAGTAATATCAGTTAGTTTGTATCTCTTTCAAAGGTACGGCTACTGGGCAATATCGTGACCTTGGTCCTGTACATCATAACGTAGTACAACTCCGCTGCGTCGTTGGATTATTCTTTCTCGGCTTCGTATACAAGGGATTGTAAGATCTCCTCGGTCTAAAACCGAATAAATTAAGTTTCTATAAACTGTATTAAGTCAAGATCCACGGAAGCACGATCAATTGTTTTGGCTGAGAAAGAGAGACTTGTGCTGAACCTAAGTTCTTTCTTGTCTAATCCAGCTTGAGAAATAGCAACTATGTTTGTATTTAGAGACGAGGACTCGATTAGTCGTATACCCTAGCATGAATTTATTATCTCTATGGTCGATACATCTCTACATCAGAAACATTAAATCATACAATATGGGATAGATCCGGGGTGGACGAGTTATAGATATATTGACTTGGAAAGATCATTATTTGGCAGAAAGGCTGGTGCTATAACCAGGCTTGGAGACATATACAACTAAAGATAATAGATCATATCTTCTTTTGAATGTCTTAACCCGAACAAAGCCTCTGGGACTGTGTTGGATAATTCGCGATACGCGTGATGCCGATATATAAAATTGATTACATGATCGACTTTGACCCAGAAATTTCGATGGACCTCATAAGGATGATGAGGCTGCAACCACGGTATTAGTCCGCTTTACTATATCAGGGAAATCGTTCATATCGGAATCATTTATATAGTGGTTTTGCCATAATGGACGAGTGGTTTGAGCAAGGGGAAACCGGTTGTGCAACATTAACTCAAGGGCCTTTCCCAACTTTACTACACATGTAATATAATAGGTTTTGAATCCCTTTTCCTTCAACAAGAGGCCCTTGTAGCTCAGTGGCAGAGCGCATCACTCGTAATACGATTAATGATGAGGTCCGCGGTTCAATCCCGCGTGGGGGCATCACTTTTTTGTGGGTTTTCTGGTTCCAAGTAACTTTTCACTGGCAGAACTTAGTTTTTCGGGTTTTTGGTACATTTATTTGCACGACATTTACATCGAAAATGGCCATGAAAGGAAGACTCCCTTACCTTGTGACCAATCAAGTCACCTCCTTTCAATTGAAACGATTGAGATTATGCCCCAAGATCTCATAGAGGCCGTCTCGGCCGCTAAACCAGCTCCCTCAATTGCTATTCTGCTCCTACTCGGTACTTTTACCATAATCTTCCCGCGGGACCTGATCCTTGACTGAGGTCGGGTCACTGCTCGAAAGTTGACTTATATGTGCCACACATATTTCAGATTCTCCATACTTCCAATATTCTGATTTACACACGATTCTATTTTATAAAACCGAAGGAAAGCACGAATGCATGGCTCGTTTAGGTTTGACATGAAGAGCAATACTCCATATATTTTGCCGGAATAATATCCATTCCAGAAGACGCTCTGCACAGATCAGTCCAACCGGGAACTTGGTGTCAAACAGCAAGCTCGGGTGTGAGAGTAATAATGTGACCTTACCACCTTATCTTCTTTACCGTGCCGATCGCCAGCAGCAATGCTCCCATTCTTCGGCTCCTTTTTCTCGGGATATGGTTAGCAGCAGCTATAGTACACTCCCAGTGCATTGCAAGTTTAGATGCTGGACAGCCAGCAATCGCGCGATGACGGAGATGGTCAATGCGTCGGACTTCGCCCGGCTATTTTGGCCGGTATACTCTGTATAAGAGGAGCTCTTCCAAATACTTGAAATCAGTTGTGGGGACGACTGCGTACCTCTTAGACTCAAACGCTATCTCTGTACCCCTAGCAAACTACTTGTGTTCTAACAACATTACACAATAAGTCTAATGAAATGGCCCTCCAAGATACCTTTCTAGCCGCCGTGGTCCCCGAGCCAAAAGCCCCGAATGTGATTTCAAATCGCACATTACAGCCGCTTGAATCGGACGAAGTCGCTATTAAAATCACAGCTACAGCCGTCAACCCGGTGGACTGGAAGATGCGCGATTACAATGCCTTTATCGACGAATACCCAGCCGTACTAGGGTCCGATGCCGCCGGACGGATTGTCGCCATTGGGTCCGACGTATCGAATGTCGCGATTGGTGACCGTGTCTTTTTCCAAGGAATTATTGGTAAATACGATTTTTGCACCTTCCAGCAGTACTGTAAGATGCCAGCGGCACTGGTCGCCAAGACACCAGACAACATCAGTGATGAGCAAGCCGCGGGAGTGAGTCTGGCGCTCGTGGCCGCTGCCACGGCGTTCTACGATAAGCAAGGCCATGGGCTACCGCCACCATGGGTGAAAGGAGGCCCGCAGGCTGGGAAAGGCAAGGCTGTAGCAATCATCGGAGGCGCGTCATCTGTAGGACAGTACGCCATCCAGCTGGCCAGACTGTCAGGATTTGAGAAGATTGTCACCAACGCGAGTCCCAAGAACCACCAGTTCCTCAGGGAGCTAGGCGCGCATGTCGTGCTGGATCGATCCCAGTCTAGCCCTGATGATTTCAGGGCCGCAATCGGTGGGTTGCCGCTGGAATTCGTGTTTGACTCGATCTCGGTGAAAGCCACACAAGTATTGAGCGTTCAAATAGTGCAAGCTGCAGAGGCTACTTCTGCAAGTGAGGTTGTCATAGTGTTCGTTGTTGAGCCTAAGGACATCGATCCTGAAGCTATAATGCTTAGTCAATCGAAAGAGCCGAGTATAGAGATCAAGCAGGTCTTGGGGATTGGAAGCTCCCCAGCATTGCGTTACCTCAGCGAACCTATGGTGAGGCATCTTGGTGGCGAGGATGGCTATATTGCTAGAAATCTTTTTGTACCTAACCGAGTATGTGTGGTTCCAGGGGGACTGAGTGCTGTGGAACAAGCATTGGCGAAGAACAAAGAAGGCGTGTCGGGCGAGAAGGTTGTCTTCCGACCTTTCGAGGGAACAAACTGAGTCCTGCTGATTCCAATGTCATTCTTTTTGGCAATAGGATGTCATGCTAGTTTTGGTCTAAAGTACTAGTCGAAATACATCTCGAATAAGTACTCACTTTTGACACTTCTAGGCATTTGCCGCTTCCGGCCATTATATTCCTGTTTAGTGTACTAGAGAGGGCACAGAAGAAGATCAACTCGACGCTCGTTACCCCACTTATCTCGTTTCTTCTTCAACGTTATTTGTTTCTTAAAATATATTCTGTCCTACTTCTCATCATTCGGTCTCGTTCCAACCCTACCCAAGAAGGTGCGCTATGTAGACTATTCATGTGTAGTCCAGGCCATGATTGGCAAATCCCAGAGATGCCAGAAACCAAACACACAAGTAAACCAGCCAAAACACAGACTTCAGCAATGGGCCTCAAAAGCCCGCCCCCAAATCATAAAGAC